CAAACCATTATAGGAAATTTTGTTTTGAAATCAGAAATTTAAGTAGCATATTGTTGTATTGTTTTATTTTAAAAAAATAATGTATATTTTTTTTCAAACCATTTATGAGCTTAATTTTCATAAGAATAAAGATGACAACAAACAAAACAATTAATGTTTAAGAAAATTCCCTGGGGTCATTGAGTGCCAAAGTGCCAACCCTATTGTTTGGGGGATTTTGGTGTGTCAGCATTTGGAATGTAAATAATGTTTTGATAGTAGTTTGGTGCGGCATGAAGGGGAGGCCTAATAATCAATCCATCATTTGCTTTTCTTCGTAATGTTGAAAAGAATATTATAGAAGCCTTCCGTTTCAGCCTCTTTTTCTTTCTGCAACTTGGTTAACCTCTAGTTTGGCCACCTGCCTGCATATGTGGACTAGACTGGAGAGTGGAGCCAAGTCATGGATGCTTTTAAAAATACAACACCCTATGCTGAAAAAAACCAAACATAAAGATTTTACAGGCAAATAGCAATTATCTAGCACCCTGGTAGCGCCACAGTTGGCAACTACTACCCATAACTTCATATTTTGATTCCTAGTATAAAAACGTGCTGAATTTTTTGTGTATTACCCTTAAAAATCGACTTTAGTATTTGTTGAAAATGTCTCCTTTGTTAACCCATTGACAGTTATTTGTTGAAAATGTCAAAACTATCCTTCAAAAGAAGATATTGTTTATTGTCTTTTACCTTGAGACTGAACCGGTTATGTTCAAAGAAAAAGAAAGTAAAAACAATGATTTCATTAGACAAGAATGTGTTTCAGATCTAAAGGTAGAAAACAATAATTTCATTAGTCTAGAATCTCAAACACCTCAACCGTTCAGTTTCAAGGTAGAAGATAATGAACAGTTGCTTCTTTTGAAGGGTAGTTTTGACATTTTCAACAGATAACTAACGATTGGTTAACAACAGGGACCAACTTGACACTTTTTGAAAGTTTAGGTACTGTAGTGACACATTTGAGAGTTGGGGTACTAACTTGACACTATTTAGGGGTACTAAAATGGAATTTTCCCTTTACTTTAAGTAGGGCAATTGCTTCTAGGAGTGTCAATTGGACTGGATTTGGTCCAATCTGGTCCAGTCCAATGTGAGTCTCTTACAAATGGACCTGGTCCAATCCAGTCCAATGAATATTTTGGACCGGTCCAAAGACTGTCCAATCTGTTCAAATTTCTATTAATTTAGATTAGTTTCAACTCAAACCTGGTCCATTGACACCTATGTTATTATCTTTTATCAATGGACCAGATATTGGTTCAATCCAACATAAATTCATTATGGATGGACTAGGTCCAATCCAATATGTCATATTGGTCTGTCCAATCCGTTCGAATTCAATGTCTTATTGGTTCGTCCAATTCATCCAAATGGATTTTGATTTGGACGGAGTCCAACCCTAAACCGGTCCATTGATACCCCTAATTGTTTCCCCTCATAGCTTCTCTTATGCATGGATTTTAAAACCGAATCGGTGATTGAATCGGTCAGGGGTCCGGTTACCGGTTTGAACGGTCCAACCATTCGACCTGAATGGTCGGCCCATTCTGACAAAAAAAATAAAAAAATTGAAAAACGGTCAAAACCGTTTGAACAGTTCGAACGTTTAACTGGCCGGTTCAGCGGTGTGTTGATAAAAAACAACGGTTTTGGGGAAAATGGAACTGGTCAGGTGACCGGTTCCCGGTTTTTCCGATCCGACCATCCGATTTTGAAAACCATGCTCTTATGTACCTTTTTTAAGTTTTATTTATTTATGTTTCTACCTAACAAATTGAAATCTATTTTCAACTTCTCCACTATAAAATCCAAACCCATTAGATGCGTTATTTAATTAGGACAATTCTACCACCCTCAATCCATTGCTTGGCATTTGCAATGGTAAAATTAAAATATACCAGGGTGACAAAGCATGGGATCATGGATTCTGGTTCACCCCTTCTTCTAACCCTTTGAATTCAACAGGTGTCTTCAATGGCTATTTATCGAAAGCAAACAAACAAAACAGAAATATCGCACCAACAGGGAGAACCTGCGTAAGTTCATTCTAGAGTTGACGGAGAAACCATGGAAATTGCTCCCAGTATCATACACAGTCCATTATCTGGTTAATCAAAATTGAATCTCAACCTCCATATTCATGTAACATCTTTTACAATGCAGTTCCATCCCGCCCCATGTCCCAGCTGAACAATCTCTGTCTCTGCTTATTGCACCAAACAAGAAAACCAAAGGATGATGGCACGCCGGTCGCCGCACACAGCTATATATTAAATACTTCAGTGGCGTTTGATCTGTTAGATACGACGGCCTTATTTGTTAAATGTTACATCATTGCAATGCGAACGATTCAACCATTCCCTGAAAATTCAGCATTTTGATTGATCAACTCCCAAATTTTATTCATGTCCAACGGAGCCAAGAGGAAACATATCTTATTTTAGATATCATGTCATAGCTGATATCGCTTCGACTTGCATCCTTCTTGCCATCATCACAAGAAGAAGCATATTCTTCCTATATATATATATTGAAAGGGTTAGTAATGGGAGTAAAATCGACCTCCGGTCTATTCGACGTGTGGTATGCATAGGAGAGCTGTTGACCGACTTGCTAGCTGAACATTGGAGACCTAGCTTGACATCGGGCCGAGATCAATCACTTCGGGTTTGTGAGCCCGTCTTGTTGAGAGATATGTGACCTGAGAGAAGAACTGTCGAGAGCTCCCATGAGGTCCCCGACAAATGGACAACTGAGATGACTGTTGAACCGAAGTCCGAGGAGGTGGTTTCTACCGAGATGGATTGCTATAAAAAGTGAGAATAGAACCTCACCATGTGTCCAAAGAGTGACTGCCTAGCAACCCATCTGGCAGAGTAATCGACAAACAAGACATCAATGGGCCCCAGGACTACACCATGCATTCATAATGTGGCATACCACTTAGTCCAATACGCTACACCGAGCACCACGTGCCCAAATTGCCTAACAGGTGGCCCTGACTGAACCCCAGGTGGCCTGACTGGGCCACAAGTGTCTTGACCGGGCCCTAGGTGTTCAAGGCCAAATACCAAGTGTCTCAAGGTGTGACAAATGCCCCATGCTTGACCGACATGTGTAATCTTAAACGTGCAGCCGAAACCTATATAAAGGTAAGAACAACATTCAATTGGACAAGTTGTGTTCATTAAATTATCACCTACCCTATCGAATAGCTCAGTGCACTAACTTAACCATCAGAGTTACAAGCTCGGGAGATCATCTCGAGCTCTCTGACCTTTCTCCTTCCTTTGTAGATTGACACCGAGTTGGTTCCAAGGACCTAGACGATTTTCGACGGCATCACTTGGTGCCGTCTATGGGAATCTTTGAACAAAAAGCCATCAACAAAGCTCCATCTACTCTACTGGCATGTCGTAGACTTAAAGGCATACCCATCGAACTTCTCACCATTCTTCCGGTGAGACCTCCCGAGGGCAACCCCAACACTCTCCCTCCCCAGAGAGACTAGACGGAGTTACTCGAGAGGATTTTGATGATTTGATTTTTATTGTCAAAGATATGAGCCTTAGAGTTCAGGCAAGAGATGAGCTTATGTAGATTGTAGGTAAGTAGCATGGGACACGACAATGAAAGCCCACAAGAACCACCTCAAGGAGACCACCTGATACAACAATTTCAGCAAAATCAGGTTGTACAGCCTATTCAGAAGGTACAACAGCATTAGCCAATTCCATTGTCGCTAGGGGTGAGCAC